TGCCGCCGCGGCCCGGGTCCGGGGGCTGCTCCCGTTACACCCTCCCCCTCTCCCCCATGCAGTTTACTTGGGTAGGTGGGTGCGTGGAGCAGCCAGTCAAGGAACAGCCTGCTGTTTGCTTACAGATCCAGGATTTTATTTTATTTTTTTTTCCTCTCTCTTTACGCCAACCAGATTGGCTGCTCCAAGAGAAAGAGGCGTTTTCCTAATCTCCTCCCTTCCTCTCGCCTCCTGCCCCCTCCCCGGCCCCACCTTCCTTCTGACTAATTGAATTACTGGGAGTGCCGAGGCGCCCTCTTCTCCACCCGAGCCCAGCATTCGCGCGTAACCCTTTGGGTGCTGAATTCCGTCCGGGCTGAGGAATGATCGGACGTTTTTACCTGAGAATGGGGTTATTTCAATTACAAAGGAACCGGTTCCCACCCGGGAGCCGGAGCGCCGGAATCTGTCTCCGGGCCCCTCCGGTGACATGAACCCGCCGGCAGAAAGCCTCAGCGAATACGCGTTCTCGTAAATCTGCCCCGGTCCTCCCAAGGAGCAATGGCCCGCCGCGGGGTTATCTGGGGAGCTGGGCATCTCTCCTGTGCCTTTCAGTCCCCCGCTTCCTACAAGGGGTTTTAAAGGTTCATGAGCAGGAAGCATGACTTTCCTGAAAACACTTTTTAAAAAACACCAAGAAAATCACAGGGTATGTAAGAATGATTGCCATTCCGTGGGACCGTTGAGCAGGGAGGAAATGAATGCAGCAGGAGAGTCCATCAGAAATACGTTACACATTTTCCATGTCAACCCCGAGGTTGGTTCGCTGCCCACTCCCCAAGGGGTAAATGTTTTGAATAAAGTCTTTTCGGGAAGGAACCTATGCCGGAGAACAAGGTCCCTTATTATTGGAAAAGCCTCGCGTTCCTGGATTTCAAGAGCCGGTTGCGGCACCGTGGCCCCAGGCCACCACCGGAGCGCGATGGCCTGACCGCCAGGCCGACTCAGCGCCCCGGGACGTGTGCCCCTGTCCCCCGGCGCCCGGGAAGCCCGCCAGGCGCCGCGCTCAGCCGGGCTGCAAACCCTGGAGACTCTCCCTCGCGGGGCTCTCTCTGCGTGGTATTATTCTTTCTTGCTCTCTAGGGAGTTTTCTGCCTCAGCGGGGAAAGGCTGGTCCCAAGAAAGAGAGCACTTTTGTTTTGCTCCCAAACTTACCTGTTCTCCCCTGTACTTATTAGCCCAGCATAATCAAATATCACGCGGTCTGTCCTGCGCTTTCCAGCTCTGGAGTTCGGGATTTCCAGGCGCTTCGGAGCCGTTTGGAAGCGTCCAGACGCCCTCCAGTGGTGGCCCTCGGTCAGCACCCAGCGCGGGTATTGCCTGCAGCTCAGCCGGATGGAGTTTGATAGAATCTGGGATCATGATCCATAAAGACTTAAGGGAAAAGGAACAGTTCACACGGGCGTGGAATTAACTGGATGTTATGGGCCCTTGCCTGAAAGTTGCGTAGTTTGTCCATTGCAGAATTTTTCCCACCTGAGGAGA